TACTAGATACTTGAATCTATAATATCAAAAAGGGAGGGGGGGGAGGAGAGAGAGAGTTAGACGTGATATGTATAACATGCAAATTTGGTAAAAAATTAAAAAACTTTTAAAGGAATGATTTTCTTATTCTTTTGTCTCTTTTGTAGAAACTAAATACTTGGATTTACAATTTCAAAGAAAAAAAATTTAATGAATGCAAATTTGGTAAAAAAAAATTAAAAATTTTTTAAAGAAATGATTTCTTTACCTTTTTGTCTTCTTCATAAGACTAAATTTTAATGAATGTAGTTAAAATTTAAGATAAACAGTAGTTTCCTGTTACTTTTGTGAAAGGGAAATGAGGAGAAGTAAACAAAAGCTTTAGAAAAATTAAGGCAAAAGTTTTGATATTTCCCTGGGTATGCTTGGGAGTATAGTATACATATGATTTATAGATCAATGGAAAAACTTGCCTTTTTCCAAATATATATATATATATATATATCTTTGAAAGTCTACCCGAGAGTATATATCCAGGTATAAATCATTTGATTTTGATTATTTAAGGATTATTATTTTAAAAGAGCATCATTCTTTCTGTCTATACGATGAAAACATTAACATTTTATTTGAATCGAGGAAGTTGGAGGAAAAAAAAAGAAGAGTGAGAGAAAGAGAGCACTTTCACTTATTTGAATAGATAATTTTAATGAAAGAGAGGGAGATGAAATCTCCTCTCCTCTTTTGTTTTCAATTCTTTCAATTTGAAAAAATTGATATGGATTATATTATTTAATTTATTTTTATTTTTTTAAAAATAAATATATAAAAATATTCTATTTTAATTATTTATTTAATTAATAAATTTTAAAAATTTTATTTTTTATTTTATTTTTTATTAAATTATTTAATTAAATAAAAATATTAACATTCTCTCTCTTTTATTTTTATCTATCCAAATAAAATTAACATTAAGACTTTCTTTTCCTTTGCATGTCCTCCCCTTACCTCCCCTCTCTTTCTTTTACTAACTTTTACCCAAACATAGACTAATAGTAAAACAGTGAAATCTCTATTCTTAATCTTATTTAGGCCTTGTTTGGTATAGCAGTTTTGGAGTAGCGGTTAGCGATTTTACCTAAATCGCTAAATATAGGTGTTCGGTAAATTTATATATTTCGAAACCGCTACAACTAAAGTGTTTGGTAAAATTTTTATTTAGCGGTTTGAGATTAGCGGGTAGTGGTTAGGGTCTAAATCGCTAGCAGATTGAAAAAGTTAGTTTATGTAGTTTTTTATACCAAACCGCTAACGGATTAAAATTTTTTAATTTTATTGACAAATTTATC